TGGGCTATCTTTTCAACAGGTGAAAATAGTTCAACCCTGAAAGTAAATATCATGTAATATGCTTAATTTAAATTTGAATGTTTTACTTAACACAGTATATCCAAAGTATTATCATCTCAACGTGTAGTTAATATTACAAATTATTAATAAGATAGGATACATTCTTTTTCGCATACTGATTCTTTAAAATGTGGTGTAATTTACACTTAAAGCATGTCTCAATTCAGTCATTAAGTTTTCTTTGGGAATATTTGATCTCTATTTAGATTTCACAAAATTTATAGGTGAACAAGTAGATTCACATACCCAAGCTTTTCTAAACATACTCAGAAGTTTTCCCAGAACAGGCAGTTAAACATAGAGTTACCACATGACCCAGCAGATCTACTCCTAGGTATATACCCAAAAGAATTGAAAATACATGTCCACATAAAAACTTGTACACTAATGTTTATAGCAGCATTTTTCATAATAGTCCCATCCTAGGAGTAATACAAATGTCTGTCAGTGGCCGAATAGATAAACAAACTGTGGTATATCCATGCAAGGAAATATTATTCAGCCATAAAAAGGAATAAAGGATTGATACATGGTACAACATGGATGAACCTTGAAAACACAGTAAGTTAAAGGAGACAGACACGAAAGGCCACATATTATATAATTCCATTTATATGAAATGTCCAAAATATGTAAATCCATAGAGAAAGAAAGTAGATTAATGGTTGCTAGAGGCTGGGGAGAGGGAGGAATGAGTAGAGGATTTTGTGAGAGGAATGAATTGAAATATTCTGGAATTAGATAGTGGTATTGGTCACGTAAATTGGTGAATATACTGAAAACCACTGAATTATACACCTTAAAAAGGGGAAGTTTATGGTGTGTCACTTATATCTCAATAAATCTGTTATTTAAAGTTTCCAATAACAGAATTGAGTGTTAGTTGTTACGTTTCCATTTAAATTAATTATAGTGAGTGAACTTAAAATTTTAGTTCCTTGGTTGCATTAAATGTATTTCCCATTCTCAATAGACTTCAGCAGTAGTCCTCTTGCTCCTTTTCTCCAAAATAGGAGTTGAACTCGGATCAGAAGTTTGTGCGCAGGATAGACGTAGTGGTGCGTGCCTGTAGTCCCAGCTACTCAGGAAGCTGGGGTAGGAGTATTGTTCAAGGCCACCCTGGGCAACATAGTGAGACCCTGTCTCTTAAAG